CCTTTAGGCCAGTAAATCTGGTCTTTTTTTTGTGAGTTAGAATTATGTTCTACATCCGTCTCCAGCTCTGTCCAGAACCCTCTGTTGTGATCCTGCATTATTTTTAATAGCCAAAAATCGGAAACAACCTAAATGTCCAACATGAGTGGTACGGTTAAATAAATTAAGGTGCATCCATACAATAATTGCAACCATTAAAAAATTCTTCATGAAAAAAATTTAAATGACTTAGGAAAACATTTCTGACGCAACATTAAGCCAAAAAGAAAGGACATAAAATTATGGATAAGAGAGAAAGAAGTACACAGAAGAAAAGATTGGAAGGAAATGAGCCACGATGTCAGTAGAGGCTGCATTTGCAAGGCAGAACAAGTTATTTTCCCTGCTTTACTCCTTTTGGAGCCCTGGTGGTACAGTGGCTTAAAAGCCTGCCTGCTCCATGGGGCAGTTCCACCCTGTCCTACACGGTCGCTGTGAGTCGACTCCAGGGCCATGGATTACTCTTTTTGGTACTTCCCTTTTCCTCCTACATACCTATGATGATCAGAAAAAAAAAAAAAAAAAACTACCCAAATCCACACGTACCCTCAAGGGGAGAGGCTGTGATGCTGACTGATTGGAGGGAAGAAGGTGGGTCCTATGGCACCCTTCTCATAACACAAACACTTCTGATGGGGCCACATACTGGATTTTTATGCAAACATTGCATGCCCATGTTTGTTTACCAAACGAGGTATTTTCCTAAGTGCTATGCTAATTTTTTTACATGCTACTGTAAAAAAATTAGCATAGTGTGCTTACAAAAATACCTGGTGTGTGTGCAGGGTGGGGAGCAGTTGGCAAACAAACATAGAAATCTCGCATTATTTGAGTAAAAATACAGTAGGTGAAGGCCATCCCTTGTAAATTTTTCTTTAAGACTTCCCTGGGAATTTCCATCTCAGACTTGGTTCTTTGGTTTCAGACTTCAGGAGTTTGTATCTCCAACGGGTAGGGAATACAGGTAATGAGTTTCCCACCTCCAGCCCCAGACAGTTCCTGTCTCCAGGGAGGAAGGATGCCAGGCTATCTCTAGCATCTTCTCACATGAAAGGCCTGCAGAGAAGAGAGCTGGCAACTTGATGGGTGCTAAATCTGAAATCTGAGACCATGCCCACACTATGGCACCTTGCAGTCTCTCTGCCTGAGAAGCTTTCAAGGCTCTAGGTTAGAAGGACCCAGTGGCTGGGAAAAAGCAAAGGCGTCTGTGAGTGAGGCCCCAAAAAAAACGCAACAAGCTGCCAAGAAGCAGCAGCACTGTAGTGCTACCCCTAGCGCGCGCGGCAGCTCTCTTTGTCCACCTAGTCAGCATGGGAGAGCTCTACCCCCAAGACTCAAAAGGCAGCACATGCATCCAACCCCACTGCACATGGGTTCGGTTTCTCTATGAAAACACCCAAGATCATTTTACAGCCACACTCAGGAGGACTAGACTTAAACTCAGCCCTCTGTGTCCTTCCAGCTCCAAACCTTCTCCATGGAAACAAATCTCTATCCCTCACTGTCCCTACTCACATTTGCAAGTTTCTTTGCTACAAAAAATAAATGATGAGTGTATGCAAACAAGTCTGTAAGGTTAGACAGAAGCATATGGGTTTCCTCCCAATCCAAGAAGGCTCAGAAGCCTGAACAGCCCATAACAAACTCTCCTTAGGCTTGGAAGACCCCAGGTCTGGAGAAATAGGGACACAACTTAGGAGGTGAAAAGCCGAAACTAAAATCCTGCGCGGCCACCAGGGGGGCAGTGGGTTTCCCCTACATCAAAGTGGTTTAAGTGAACTCACCGAACATGTTTCCCTCGTAGCCGTCTTTTGTTAGTGGACGGAGCTCATTTTTCCCCATTGCATAATGCTTGTAGCTTTGCCAGGCAAACTGCATCATCTGCAAGAAAAGGTAGAATACAGAGAGCCTTAATGTGACAATCCCCAACAATGTAGATCAACCACCTTGCTTTGCCCTTTGTAACTGGATCTTAAACTACATTAAAGAAATAACCTTCTATATTTTCCAAATTGAAGAAGGCAACTTCTCACCACAATTTTATTCATAGCTGCCTGGAAGGTCATTCTCCTCGGAAGACTCCATGTGTCCAAAGTCTACCCATAGATTTCTCAGAAAACACAAAAAGCACAAAGTAAAACAAACTCTATACATCCTTCCAGGCCAAAGTGAAAAAACACCTCCTCCATGAAGCCTCTCTGTTTTGCTCTGGCCTAAAGTAATCCTCTGAAGGGAAGGAAACCAATATTCTCTGAATGAATGCCGCTCACATTATCTTACTTAATCTAACAGAGCAACCCTGTGAGCTAGATATCTAGATATTGTTAACTCCATTTTATAGATAAGGAAACAGGTCAAAGACATGAAGCAACTTGCTGAAGGATACCCAGTGAGTTAGTGAGAGTGCTGGAAATCGGGCCCATGCCCTCTGGCTGTAAAGCCTTGGGTCTGTCCTCAAAGCCTGGCTCTGTCCCCTAGAGCTGCTGCATGACTCCCTTTGAACTCCGCCAACATTTGGCTTGACCCACCCTGGCTGACAGGCTCCCTAGTACCTTAGCTAGCAGCATTATTTTTTTGTTTTCCTGGCTGTGGACCATAAGCTCCTTGAGGCAGGAAACTACACTTGCCTTGCGTTGGTTTACCACACGGCACCCAGCACAGGGCTTGGCACAGGTAAGCTTCAATGAGTAGTTGCTGACTTTGTCACCCAGACTGTGCTTGAGTTCTTATTACATAAAGGCAATCATGTCTCAGCCCCTCAGGAGCATCTCGTGAGCACCGTGCTCCTCTGACTGCACTGAGCATTGCAGGCTGATGGAGACGCGGATGGGGAAATGCAGGATGGCAGTACCCCTAACCCCCACCCTGTCCCCCGAGGTCTCCCTTCTTTGCCTTTCTGGTGTTCCCTTTTTGCCTTTGGATGGCAGGCTGCAGAAGGAGGACAGCAGAGCTCTGGGGGGACCGGTGGGGCAGAGGAAGGAATCAGACATAGGCAGTACAGGCACAGCTGAGGGACAGGTGGGTGGGGAGGCAGCCTGGTGCAGTAAAAGAACTGGGGCTTTGGGGCCAGGGAGGCCTGGGTTCTAGTCCCGCCTCTGCCCCTCTGCCACTAGCTCTATGACTTTGTTGAGTGACGAGATATCTCTGAGCTACAGTTGTCCCATCTGTGAGATGGGGATAACAAGAGCTGCTTTGCCACAATGCTGCAAGGATTAAATGGAAAAAAAAAAAAATGTAGCCATTTCCAGCCTGCACAGCAGGTGCTGGACGAAAGATGGTTCTCTTCCCATTTCAGTCTTCAAAATTCCCATCTGGTCTCCCATGCCTCATCCATCCACCCCTCCTTCCATCCATTCAATTAGTTTCTCAGACTTCAGCTTGCATCAGTATCACCTGTAGGGCTTGTTATCAGATTGCTGGGCTCCACTCCTAAGTTTCTGATCCAGCAGGTCTGGGGTGGGGCCCAGGAATCTGCTTTCTAACGTTTCTGCGTGATGCTGCTCGTCCATGGGCCACTTGTGAGAACCAGCGATCTATTACATCTGTGTATTTCTATTTCTCACCTCACTTCCAGACACTGTCCCGTACCTTTCTGCTCCTCTCCCCCTATCTCCTGGCCCACGTTTCTGCCTCAGCAGCCCTCTTCCTAGGACATCTCCACCTGCGTTCCCTGCTGCTCCTGGTGCCAAGGCTGACAAGCCACCTCTTCCAGGCCCATCTGGACAGTAACTACAGTTGTACTTGCCGCTGCTGCCTGAGTGCATGGAGCAGGAGGGCGAGCTGGCGGGTCTATGGCCTGGACTCTCCATGAAATGGCAGAACAATCCAGTACACCTTGTCAACTTACAGGTGATGAAACTCCGAGATGGAGGCTCCAAGACAGAGTGGTCTGGGTGGCACAGCCAGCCAGGACGGGAATGCAGGTCTCTCAACTCCCACGTCAGCACAGCCCACCCCCATGCCTGGCAGGACATGTGGTGCCTCATGTGACACACAGACAAATGTCATGGTAACACATGCCAGGCACTTGGCATGGGCTTTGAGTCCTGGTTCCGTTCCTCTTTTATTTTCTACTTATCTTGAATTGGCAATAACGGGAAATAATTGCTGGGTATGCATGCTTGAGGGGGACTGGCCTCCTCCCTCCGCCTCTCTCATCTGGGGGGCTCCCTCCACTGAGTCAGTGTGAGGTGGGGGGAGGTGGCTGGTTGGGAGAGCAGGAGGAGGCTGTTAAAGCATAAGTGACAGCGGAGGAGAAGGACTGGGGGTCTACAGGGGGAGGACTGTGCCCTACCCTCAAAGATCCTCCTGCTTAAAAGAGAGAGAGAGAGGTGGGTGTACAGGCATAATTAAGAGAATCATAGGTATCTGCACATTCTCCAAGGAGCTGTCACTGTAGGGATGTGGAGATATTTGGAGTGTGGCCCGTTCTCACAGGCATCCATATCAACGGAGGGGAGCAAAGGCACAAATAATCCCCACATCACTTGGAACTGGATTCAGAAGGCAAGCAGAGTTGCCTCTCAATCACACACATGTGTACACACACACACAGACCCGCGGACGCACACCTGCCCCCTCCTCGGGTCATGGTGAGTCAGCGACGGCACCAGATGTTCAGGGGACAGGGAAAGACCCCCAGCCGGGCAGTCCTTATTTCTCTTCCTAATACACCCTAAGGTCCTTGGGTGGCACAAACGGTTTGCACTCGGCTGGTAACATAAAGATTGGTGGTTTAAATCCACCTAGCTGCACCACGGATCTGCTTCTATAAAGATTAAGCATGGTGATCTGCTTCCATAAAGATTACAGCCTAGAAAACCTATGGGGCAGTTCTACTCTGTAACAAATGGGGTAGCTATGAGTCAGAATTGACTCGACAATAGCTAACAACGTATCCTAAAAAAGTCCCCACCAGGTTTCCTGTCCTGTGTTTGGGCTGCATCCTTGGTAGGGGTGCTGTCCTGGCCTCCACCCTCATCCTCTCTGCCACTGCTTGTCTTCCGCCAGGTCCCATCTGAAAGGGCACTTTTGCAGTGAGGCCTGCTCCCCAGCCATGCCTAAGTCAGGCCCCACTCCCACCACACAGTCCTGCTGCATGTTCCCATAGCAGCCTATAGTCAAACATTTGTACTTGTAACTATTTGGTCAATCCCCCTGCTCTCCACTCTCATTCGAGGACTGGCACATAGTAGGTGCTCATTAAATATTTGCTGAATGAATGAAAGAACAAACAGGAAAATTGGCTTTGATCTTAAGGAGTTTAACATCAGCAAGAAGACCTGACTTAGGCCACAGGAATAGGCAAATGGGTCAGAGAGAAGGGGCTGCTGAGCAAGAGAGGTGCTCAGAAGAGAGCAAGTTTGTGTCTCAAGGAAACCTTCCTGGGGCCCCAAGTGTCCTGATGGGGCACAAGAAGAGGAGGGCTCACAGAAATGCTAATCTTTACACAAACCCTCTGGAACTGGTGACACGTGCCTTGGATGACCCCTGAACTTGGTTTTAGAGACAGATGGCCCCTGACTTCATGCTTAGGCAGCTCTTAGACCTCAAAGGTCATCCAGGCCACCTCCTGCCCAATGGATAGCAAGTTCCATAATAAAGGATCAAACAGTCTGTCTTTGAACACCCCCAGTGATGGGATACTCACCACCTCACCACGCAGCCCATTCCAATTGAGGAGTTTCACAAAGTTCTTCCTTAATCAATCAAAATCTATTTTCCCCTATGGGCCATAGGGAAGACAGCTCATCCTGTGTCCATACCACAGACCTTCAGCCATGGGAGCTAACTCTCAAGTCTCGTTAGGCTGCCTCTTCCCCAGCTGACGTGCCGGCTCCTTCTACTCTTGCTCTATGGCGCAGCTCTGAATACAGTGTCCCTGTGAAACTGCAGACCCACTAGACCAGGGTCTTTGTTTTCCAGGATGCCCCAAGACTTTGTTGTCCATTTGTTATGGTTGGCTACACTTCTAGTAATGAGCAGAATCCAAAGCCTAAATGCTCCCTGGTTATATCTGGACCAGTCCTGTAGGCGTGGACTCGGCATTTGTCCCCAGTAACTGCATCTCAACAGACTCTGCCTACCATTCCATGTCATCAGGATGTTTCTGGAACCAGGTTTTATTATTTAACAAGTTAGGTGCCTGCTGGCTTTGGGCAAGCTGCAAACTTGATGGGACTGTCACCTGCAGTCTCCCCCAAATTTTTGACAGAAACACTAAGGAGGAGGGCTGAGGACGGAGTTGGGGAAATAGCATCGGGGCTCCTCTCCTGGGTCTAGCGCCACTCTTGACTGTCATTCATCAGCAAATGAGGAATCTACCACACAGTCAGAACAACCCGTTTTTCCATTTTTGTCCACAATAATATTGTGAAAGATAGGGCCGAAATGCAAAAACGCTCTGTCCTAGTACAGCAAAAATTATTCGTTTGTTTTCTTTTTAAGGGAAATCGGGGGGTAGACTGGCATGATTTGTTCGTAGAGACCCCATTTTGGCTCCTGTGGATCATCATTTGTTGTACTAAATGCTTGCAACTCACTGACTTAAATCTATTAGTCCCACTAGGATGGCTATAATCAAACAGATGGAGTTCTGTGATGGTGAGGGTGTGGAGAAATATGGAACCCTCATGCATTGCTGGTGGGGATGTAAAATAGTGCAGCTGCTTTAGAAAACAGTTTGGTAAAAGAAAAAAAAAAAAAGGTAAACATGGAGTTATCAAACCCAAATTGAGGGACAAACCTATAACATTAAACGGCCCATACTCTTCAAAAACGTCAAGGTCATAAACGGAAAGCAAAAACTGAGTAACTGTGTCAGACTGAAGAAGACAGAGACATGGCCACTAAATGCAACATGTAATCATGGGATGGATCCT